GTGTTTCACAGTTTGATTTTGGTACATCGTGTACCCGCCTTTTTTGAGCTGGAACAGACGGAAAAATGATTTGTTTTGCTTGTTTGGTGCCGGAAAATCTTCCCACTAGCATTGAGGCGGATTGACAAAGTTGCTGAAACTTTGCTGTTTGCGAAATGCAATCCAAAAATTGGCAAAAATCAATTTGATTTAGCCTTCTCTTTTCATATCAGTCATGTTTATCCAAAAGCACTGCCTTCGATCACCTCACGCCACGAGCTATCTTCATGGTCGACTAAAGTCGATCATCGGCTGGCTTCGATCTTTAGATCACCAACTAACGAGCTAGCTAATTGAGCTCAAATCAAAGCAAGTTCTACTTGAGGTATGTTTTATTTATCATTGCATCTCATTCATTCTGTAAGTGTTGTTTGTATTTCTAGATTGTCTGTTCAGCATTTTTTAATTATCTCAATGAAGACTCTGTGCGTTGACGTGGGCAGTGGCAGTGTCCGCTGTGCCATTTTTGAGTACTCCTCTAGCAATGTTTTGCAGACGAAACCGCTGGCGGTCAAAACAATGCCCTTGCCGGTATACAACCGAAAACCTGATTACTTTGAGCAGAAAACATCCGACATCTGGTCAGCATTTTGTCAATGTACAGCAGAGTGTCTGAAAGCTAGTGGTTTGTCGGTCAACCTTTCAGAGAACGATTCTTTTCCCATTGATGCAGTTGCCTTTTCTGCCACCTGTTCCCTCGTCATTGTTGAAGAGCCGCGGCATCAACAAAATCATGATGATGCTGAACAATGCGACGTAATTATGTGGATGGATCACAGGTAGATAAACAAAAGATTTGTTGCTTTTTTAGACGGACAAATAACGGTAACCTTCTTTACAGGGCCAAGGCAGAAGCTGAAATCATTTCCAGCAGTGGTCATGATGTCTTGAAGCAGTTTGGCGGCATCTGCTCGCCAGAGTTTTCAATTTCAAAGCTTTTCTGGCTTTACCGAAATGACAAACCTCGCTTTGAGGCGGCTCAAGCTTTCATGGAACTTGGAGATTGGCTAACTTATCGAAGTTCCCATCTGTTTGGAACTCCTCAAAAGTTCCCTCGCTCTTTGTGCTGTGTGGTCTGCAAGTTTGGGTACGATGCTGAAAATCACAAATGGAGAGATAACCTGTTTGAATCTCTAGGTAATACTGAGCTTTCATTGTTACATAAAACAGTTTTAATTTATATCATGTTTTCCAGGGATACCATTTGATAATGGTTTCAGTGATAAAATTGGCAACTCAGTTATCTTTCCTGGTGCTCGGGCTGCATCTTTAAGCGTGTCAGCTGCTGGGGAAATTGGTTTTTCGTTTGACCATCCAACCACTGGGAATTCAATTGATTCAGTCTCTTTGGCAAGCTCCCTTATTGATGCTCACGCAGGCGTTATCTCCATGCTTGTGTTTGGTAATCGAATAGCGCCTTCAAATCTGGAAACGCACTTACCCAGCTATGAAAATGTCTTTTGCATGATTTCGGGGACTTCCACATGCCACATGGTGCTCAACAAAAAGAAGTGTCCTACTCCAGGTGTCTGGGGACCTTACCTGGACGCAATCCTACCAGGGTACTACCTTAGCGAGGCAGGCACCACTGCTACGGGAAAGTTGATTGATCACGTTATTCAATCTCATTACGACGGCAAACTGCCATCATCGATGTCTCAAATAATCATCTCACTGAATGAACAGTTGAAAAGCAAAGACTTTGATCATCGAAATTCTCTCGTCGTGAATCCTGCCTTTCACGGAAACCGATCGCCAGTTGCCAATCCAAACTTGAGGGGTGCCATATATGGGTACACACTCGAAGAGACCTCTCTTCTCGATTTGTACGTCGCCACTGTAGAGGCTATTGCCTACGAGACTCGCTACATCATCGAGGAGATTGAGAAGAGTAGCAAGCCAATTCAGAAGATCATCGTTTCCGGTGGGTTGGCCAAAAATGAGCTTTACCTGCAGTTGCATTCCGATATTTTGGGTGTCGAATTGGTTACCTTCACTGCCGGAGAAGCTGACCTGATGCTGGTTGGTGCCTCGATCATTGCTCTTTGCGCCACCCAAGTCGCACCCACTGATGACCCTAGCAAACTGATGGCCATTCTGAATAACCTTAGCACTGATGAGCCTGGTTTTCGGACTCACTATCGGGTGTTCAAGCCACGCCAGAGTGCCACTGAATACCACAATCGTAAGTATCAGTGCTATCGTCGTCTGCTGGACTGTTGCATCCAGATGGAAGGCATCCTGTTGTAGCAGCCTCTTAAATGTAATTCAGAAACAAGCACTTTTAATTCAAATAAACTGCGCTATTACTCCATTTTTAAATTCTCATTCTGTTGAGCCTTTCTTTTGTTTCTCTTGCCATTGCCTTCTTTTAATGGCGGCACATTTTCGGTATTTGAGACATTAGTTGCTTTTCGGTGCTTGCGTCGCCTGGCTTTGCTTTTCATGGAACACTTTGGTTCCTCTTTGAGCTTTTCTTCTATCATTGGTTCAGTTTCCTTTTCACCATCCAGAACATCTTTGATTTGAGTCTCTTCGACATCAGTTTGAGCGTTCTCTTGTTCAGTGGTTTCTTGAGGTTTACTGGAATCGTCTTTGGTTTCGTCTGTGGAAAGACGACTCTCTTCATCAGCATTTGATTCATCTTTCTCTTTTGCTTCCTGCTGAAAAAACTGGTAATTTAAAATGATTTCAAGAAAAGTTAAAACCCACCTTGTTGGTAGCTTCATCAGCCAGCTTTTGGAGTCGAGCTTGTTCCAGTTTCTCCAGTTTTCTCTTCATCTCTCCAGCAAACGCTATGTGACTTTTGAATGTCTCCATATCGTTGAGAAATGAGGTTAACGATTTGCTGGCTACAAGATTAAAAGTATCACATCAATAGACTATCAGATCATCGAGGAAGATTGAGTTACGACTTACGATCACCATCTCCCAAATGGCTTAGTGCTAGGTAGGTTGCAGTGTTCACCAGTGATTCGCGATTTTTCTGAAAAACTCCAGGTTTTCGCGGGTAATGCTGCATGTTACAGTTGCATTGAGGTATCTGCCTAGCATTACTTTCAGCCGCTTCCTCCTCTTCTTCACTCGTTGCCATCTTCCTCCATCCAATCTGTGGACAAATGATTGACAGTCAATCTGTGAGTAAGGTTGTCACTTGTGCTAACTGGCTGGAAACATACTCGAGTCATTATGAAGAGGAAAAAGATGACCACCACGACAGTGTACACAGGCATGAACAAGTTCATTACACTTGAGCCTTGAGATGTAATCTCACGTTTGGCGTGTCGATCGTGCTCCATGTGAAATGGTGGCTAGTACAGTGAAGGTTAATTTAATTTAGGGCTGCTTTAAAATCAAACAAACAATTACCCGTCCGACTGGTCGTTTGGGCGGCTGTGCCGAATGGTGAACGGAGCTCCCATGGCTCATTCTCATGGCTTCACGCACTTTGGGCGGAAGCATCCTTTCTTCAACTGGATAAACATAAACATACAGCATTCAATTGGACACCGCAGAAGCTGTAAATAAGCACTTACCGGTATGGTCTGGCTCGTTTCCTCTCCAACTCTTAAGCATTGGGTAGTAGATAAAGGACCACAGTACGGAAAAGCAGCCAATTACTACAATCATGACGCAGATACTGGCTGCAGTGCCAAGTCCACCGCTTAGCTGGGGCATTTTCAAATGCCAGGATATGTGAGTGTAAACTAGTGAAACACTTAGAGAAGAGTAAAGGGCATCACGGGATGCGTTTTATTTCAGGAAGATTCCAAAACTACTCTGCTCACTCGGTACGACCGGTCAAAGCGAGTGCGAGTGTGCGTAGATCTACGATAAACAAAAGCTAGCGTTTTGAGTATGCTCTGTTTCAAATAAAAGTGGTCCAATAAAAAGCTCAAAGTAAATCACAATAAGAAAAATTATAGTTCGCCAGCTCTCTCGGTGTTGTTGTTTTTTGCCACCATCTTAAGCATTTCAGCTCTCTTTTTCAGCTCTGTCTTTATGTCCTCTTCAATGTTCTTTGGCTCATCGAATGGTCCGTATCGCTTGACAGGGTGGCCATAGCAGTCCAACAGAAACCTAAAACAAATAAATACAAAAATCCATAACATATCTTTGTATTTAAAAATTTCACTTACTTTGTAAAGTTCCATTTGATAGCTTCAGTATACAGAATTCCCTTGAGCTTAGACTTGAGCCACTTGTAAATCGGGTGAGCATTATCGCCTAGTTGGAAAAATATGGTAATAAACTTGAATGATATCGATCTCAATTTACCATTGACATCAATTTTGTCATAGACATCAAACTTCACATTCTTGCTCGCCAAAAACTTTCGGATAGTAGCGTCATCCCCTGTTAAAATACAAACAATGAGTGCTGATTCTCTTAAGAGAACAGATAAAAGACATACCTGGCTCTTGTCCTCCAAACTGATTACATGGGAAAGCGACGATTCGCAGGCCTTCGCTCTCATAGCGATTGTGCAGCTCCGACAGCTGTCGATAGTTGGTTTCAGTGAGCGTACATTCAGAGGCGACATTGACAACTAACAAGACATAGCCCTTGTACTTCTGGAAAGAGACCTGGAACGTAAAAAACACAAGTAGATTCAGTCATCAAATAGGCAAACAAACAACTTGCAGCTTACCTCGCTTCCGTTGCTCGAAGCATTGAACTGGAAAATGTTCTCGATTTTTGCCGTTTCACCTCCACTGACCAGGTTCAACGATGCAACCAGAAAGAGGGCGCCCAGAAGAGAGCACCCAACTTCAAGTTTGGTTATGCGTGCCATGTTTCAATGACAAGGCGAAAAGTGCGACTGAACGGCTGCACCCGAAATGGTATCACTCGAGAGAAAGCTAGAGCTGCTACCAAAGTGTGTAAACAGACAGGCTGCAAGGGTAGATATGATGCGTCTTTAAGAAAGATTTATTTCAATTTATCATTGCGCGATCACCTTCTTTGGTCCTTTCTGATAAACAAATAGTGGAGTGGTGGACAAATGTCAGAGTATACAGAAGAGATAGTGGTTTCAGTTTACAGCAGATAAAAGCGAATAAGCATGAAAAGTGCGAAGTCATTGCTTGTTGTTGGCCCGTTGAGTACTGGCAATGCAGATAAAAATAAAAATAAAAATGAGGAAAAAATGAGATAATTGGACCGAGGTTTTGTATGGTTGGGGTACACGTTTAGGAGGAGGATTCAGGCAGCAAAGCTTTGACATCGGGCTCAATATCGCTTGCGGGGTTTCCAAATCGCTTAATTGGAATGCCGTCTTTGTTGATAAGAAATTTGGTAAAGTTCCACTTGATAGAGTTGAAGCCGAGGATGCCACCTTGCTTGGACTTGAGCCACTTGTACAGAGGAATTGCGTTTTCACCTGTAAACGCAAGGAAATTATTACTGAGATTGTTATACTTTCATCGATCAAGTCACAAACCGTTGACATCAATCTTCGAGTACATATCAAATTGCACATTGTTCTTGGCGGCAAACTCTTTAATGTCAACATCGCAACCAGACTCCTGACTGAAGAACTGGTTGCAGGGGAAGGCCGCAATGCGTAGACCCTTTTCTTCGTACTTGGCATACAGCTCATTCAGCTGCTTGTAATTGGTCTTGGTGAAGCCGCAGTTTGTGGCAACGTTCACGACAACAGTCGGATGGCCTCGGTACTTTTCCATGGACACCTGAAGGGAAGCCAAACAATCAGCAGTTAGACATGGCACAACAAGTAATCTACAGGTTAGCCCTCACCTCATTCCCGTCAATGTCTTTTGCGCAGAACTCGTAGAAGGTGCTGGCATCCTCGGGCGGTGGAGCAACATCTGGAACCGCGTTGCTCTTCTCCTCGTCGTCGGGCTTGGCAGCAGTTTCCTCGCCGCCATTCTTCGGACTGACATCGACAGTCTTCTCGTCAACCTTCTTCTCCTGGTCGACCTTCTCAGGAGTGGCCTCCTGAATAGGCGTAGCTGGGGCGGCTTCGGTTTCGGACATTTCGGAATAGGGATCAGCGGAGATGCAACGAGTGTGCGAGAGGCTGTGTTGTGGATTGTCGAGGGGGACAGTTGGCGGCGGGAGAATGTGTCGGTGACAGGAGTGAACGCGTGGATGAGAGACGAGAAAGTGATGTGCTTGTTTATAAGTAGAGCTTAGCTGCAGCTCGTGCTGCCAACGGGTGGGACGTCCAGACGATGTGCAACACTCTCATTCGGGCGCCACCAGTGCTACAAGTGCCCACCAACTGCCACCTCAAGTCGCAAGAGATTGTCACTGAGATAAACTATGTGATAACTAAGCAACACCATTTTATTTTTATTGAAAAACACAGTTAATGGAGTATAATTTGCTGACAAATCTAGACTTTTCTCTTGCAGTTTTAGTCGAATTCATCGTTGGGATGATAGTGTTCACTCAGAAGACGAGAAAGATGAAATGACAAGAAACCACCACTGTTTAACACGGAAAATAAGAAGCATAAGTTAATCCTTGGTGATCCATGCCAGCTAGTACCACTTACATATTGGACACAAAAACAGTTATTAATTCAGGTGGCACGTAATCAAAGACCGGGTTGAGCACTTGACACTTTGTGGAGTAGTCAGATTCGTAACTCAGAATGTCTTGTGGGGTGGAAAACTTGTTGAACTCTATCTTGTCGTCACTGACAAGATACTGCGATGAAAGTTTGAACATTCCAGTGCACACGATGAACTGTCAAATGAACCGAAAGTTAGTTCAATTTGAACAACACACTAGGTCCCTGTACTTACTGGTACAGAGAAGTGCTTGGCTGCCAGTGCCAGTGTGTATGCACCGCTAACTGCTTTAATTCTGAAAGAAAATGTTTCTTTACAAAGGTACTTAAACAACAGGAATTCTTAAATACGTACCCTCCGTTTGCCATAATTGAATGAGTTCCAACGATCACCTTATTACATCTTGACATTACGGCGAAAATTGCCGAGTCGGGAATCAAAATGGTGCTGATATTGTCTTTCGATAAAGACAAAGCCAACCTGTGACCCTAAAACGAGTTTTCAAATGAAATATTGAGCAAAAGATAAAGGTCCGAGAATTCTTACATTGCAGAATGGTGCACACTCAGCGATAATGACTTGAAACTTTCGATCCTTCTTAGCGG